AAGATCAGGAGTTTGAGACCAGCCTGGCCAACATGGTGAAACCCTTATCTACTAAAAATACAAAAATTAGCCAGGCATGGTGGCGGGCGCCTGTGATCCCAGCTACTTGGGAGGCTGAGGCAGGAGAATCGCTTGAACCTGGGAGGCGGTGGTTGCAGTGAGTGGAAATTGCTCCACTGCACTCCAGCCTGGGCCACAAGAGTGAGACTCCGTCTAAAAAAAAAAAAAAAAAGTGAAGTCGGCTGGGCACAGTGGCTCACACCTGTAATCTCAGCACTTTGGGAGGCCGAGGTGGGCGGATCACGAGGTCAGGAGATCGAGACCATCCTGGCTAACATGGTGAAATCCCCTCTCTATAAAAATACCAGATTAGCCGGGCGTGGTGGTGGGCGCCTATAGTCCCAGCTACTCGGGAGACTGAGGCAGGAGAATGGCATGAACCCAGGAGGCGGAGCTTGCAGTGAGCCGAGATCGTGCCACTGCACTCCAGCCTCGGGGACAGAGCGAGACTCCGTTTCAAAAAAAAAAAAAAAAGTGACGTCTTTACACAAACATAAAGGGGTTATGTGTGCTGTCCTTTGAGAAGTTTGTTGATGAAAGGAGAAAGGAAGTAGTAGCACCAGAGGAAAAGGTCAGGGGTTTACCCTGTTCTTACAGGAAAACAGCGCCTTGCTCTTTTCAGCTAGCTTTTCAAAGGATAGGGATAGGACAGCTCCCTGCCCTCTTTAGGATATTTGGATCTATAACCTCCAGAAATTCAGGCTGAAGTAGTTGGAGGTCGGAGAGGAATGAGACAACTGCCTGGGTGGGGTGGGCCAGCCAGACACTGCCAGGATAGCCACAAGGAGACGTAACTTAGAGGAAAGAGCAGACAGCAACCACGTTGGACTCAGGCAGTTCTGGGTTTGAATCCTGTCTGTATCACCACCTAGCCTGATGACCTTGGGCACATCCTGAGCACCCTGTGCCTTATCTGTAAAATGGAAACAATTATGCTGACCTTTTAGGTTGGTTTTGAGGATTAGAGACTAGCTCCTGACACACAGTAGGTAATCGTAAATGGGTGCTATTATTTGGCCCAACCCACATTATAGGACAGAACGTCTAATGAACGGGTCAGAACCTGCGCCCTCCGGATCTTGGAGGGTACAGAGGGCGCCCCTCGGCCTCCTCCCTTTCGGAGGTGGGGACAAGGTGGAGGAAGGGCTGCAGGAGGAGGAGCTCTAGCATCGCGACCCGCCCCGTCCCGTCCAGTCTGGCCTGGGCGCTGCGGGAACGCTGTCCTAGCCGCCGCCACCCGAACAGCCTGTCCTGGTGCCCCGGCTCCCTGCCCCGCGCCCAGTCATGGCCCTGCGCCCCTCACTCCTCCCGCTCCATCTGCTGCTGCTGCTGCTGCTGCTGCTCAGTGCGGCAGTGTGCCAGGCTGAGGCTGGGTTCGAAACTGAAAGTCCCGTCCGGACCCTCCAAGTGGAGACCCTGGTGAGGAGATAGTCCCTAACCTCAGCACCCGTGGACCGAGCCTTGTGGGGTAACACAGGGATCTCAACGAATCTGGGAGCCGGGAAGGAAGTACGGGAACTGAGTTGGGGGTGGTGCTGGGTCTAGGAGCGAGAACGGGATCTTTGGAAGAGCATCCGTGACCCCTGTAGTCCGATCGTAGGTGGAGCCCCTCGAACCATGTGCCGAGCCAGCTGCTTTTGGAGACACGCTCCACATACACTACACGGTGAGGGGTCTCGGGGGCCGGGGCGGGGCCTGGGAGGGGGTGGCGCCCTGCTGAAACACGTCAGCTTTGGCTTGGACACGTGGCAAGCGGTTCGGGAGAAGAAACTCGGGGCTCTGGGGTTGTCGAGCACATGGCGAGGGGAGAGGCGTTGCTCTTCCGTGCCTCTTTTTCCTCCTTGCTTTTCTGCCAGTTCCTACCTGGCACGGAGAAGTGCAGGGTGGAGAGATCTCCGAGAAGCGCCAGCCCTCTGGGGCTTCCTGTTCCTTACAGCGGTAAGGGGAAGGCTAGGCTGCCGCTGTAAGGGGGCTGCCGCCGCCCAGCGGTCCAGGTGTGTGTTGCGCGCCTGCTGGGAGGGAGAGGGTGGTAGGTGTATGCTCTTGATGCTCTCTCCCCCCAGGGAAGCTTGGTAGATGGACGTATTATTGACACCTCCCTGACCAGAGACCCTCTGGTTATAGAACTTGGCCAAAAGCAGGTGATTCCAGGTATGTGACCTGTGCCTCCCATTCTACCTCTTCACAACCTAAGCCCTTTCTTAGCCTCTTCAGCTCCAAAGCTGCCCTGGAAATTCCCCCCTGAAATGAGTAAGACCCTAGGGCTCTACCAGTTACCTTCTGAGGTTCAAACCTCACTTCTAATACTCCACTTGTCCCAATTGGAAGCCAGAGATTTAAGAAGTGGGGGCAAGGCCTATTGAGGATGGAGGAGGAAGACTTTGGTGTTCATGTCATGGGATTTGGGGGAGGTGGATAGCTTCCAGTTCAGTTGTGTCTTCTTCCTCAAGGTCTGGAGCAGAGTCTTCTAGACATGTGTGTGGGGTGAGTATCTGGGCAGGGGTGGGCCTGGGTACCCTCTTTGCATGGGAAGAGGTTTTCTCTGCCATCCTCGCTCCTTAAGAAGCAGGAGAATGTGGAATAAAGGACCCTGCTTCCCACTGGACAGGTCCAGGTCAGTGGGAACCCTGAGGGCATCCAAAGCCTCTGTGCTTCTTGCGCTGTTGCTTTTGTTGGGGAGTTGAGGCACATGGGGAGATGGACACCTTTGCTGGCCAGCCTGTTTGGTGTTCAGGTGGAAAAGTTCGTGTTTTGGGTGTGAAGATCCAGAGGGTTTTGCTGGAGGAGCTTCAGCTGGACTGAGGCTGCTGGCCTACCTCTCCTGCCTCTGGCTGTGACTGACATTCCTTCCCTCAGAGAGAAGCGAAGGGCAATCATTCCTTCTCACTTGGCCTATGGAAAACGAGGATTTCCACCATCTGTCCCAGGTAATCTGACTAGGCCTGTCTCTCAGGCCATCGAAATACCCAGTCCCTAAGAGCTGTAAGGAGCTATATACTTTGTCTAATGCTTGAGAAGGTCCAGACCAAGTTTGTTTAGACAGACAGGAGTGGCTGGCGCCTCCATCTCCAGGGCCACTTTTTTCTTCCTCATATCACCAACAGGGACTAAAGACAAATAACCTGATGAGGCCACCTGGTGTGACCTCTAGCAGCCAGTAACTTGTTAGGGAAGAGAACTGCCTGTGCCACCACCTTTCCCAGAACACTGGGCTTCTTTCCTGCCCTTTTCTACAACTCTACGCTGTGTCAGTTGTACAGCCGCCCCCCCCCCACCCCGCTTCCTTTCAGCCTCCATCAGGGAAGAGATAGTAAAAATAATCACAGTCAAGTAATTCAAAACAAAACAAAAAGCAACTGTTAAAGCCAAGTCTACCCCATAACTTTAAAAGCCATCATAGGTCACTGCCGATGTCTATTTTTGAAGGGTTGAGATGGACAGATTTCCCAAAATGCGTATCTTTTGCTTTCAGTTCTAACAAATGTTCTATTAGCTAAAATGTGTTGTACTTCACAGAGTATTGGGCTCGTAATTCTTCTTCTTCTTCTTCTTTTTTTTTTTTTTTTGAGACGGAGTTTCATTCTTGTTGCCCAGGCTGGAGTGCAGTGGCGCAATCTTCACTCGCCACAACCTCTGCCTCCTAGGTTCAAGCGATTCTCCTGCCTCAGCCTCCCGAGTAGCTGGGATTATAGGCGTGTGCCACCACGCCCAGCTAATTTTGTATTTTTAGTAGAGATGGGGCTTCTCCATGTTGGTCAGACTGGTCTCAAACTCTCAACCTCAGGTGATCCGCCTGCCTTGGCTTCCCAAAGTGCCGGGATTACAGGCATGAGCCACCGTGCCTGGCTGGGCTCATAATTTTTATTCTAGTTCCAGCTTAGAGGAAGGCCTGGAAGGAGGGTAGGGCAACCAAGGAGAAACTCTTTTACCCAAAGCCCTATACCTCCCCATTCCCAGTGCTGCTTATTTGCGCCTCTTCCGCCCACTCATTTCTGTTCCACCTGCCCCTTTACTTCTTAAGCAGCATCCTCATCCTTCTTCCTCTTCAGTTCTTATGCTGAAACTCCTGTTATCTCATAATCACGTTGAATGTGCTCATTGGTTGGTTGATTTTTTAAAGTCTAGTTTAAATCCATTTAATTTCAGACCTGCAAAGACTCTATCCATGTGGTTATTTGGAAATACGATAAGTTAGTAGTTAGTATAGAAGGTTCTCCCACTTACAAATAGAGAAGAGTCTTACATTTCATATTCACAGAAAGTTTTCCTGCATTCAAAGACTTGTCACTGGACCCAAGCCACATGTGTAGTTGGGGTCAACATGACTATCACTGAACTCTGCTCATAATCCTCCTCTACTCTTGTCTAAAGGAATTCAACCCCACATTTAAATCTTGTCAGCTTCATAGTTGTTGGCTTTGCTGTGGCCTACCCTCCCTATTTTCATTCAGATTCTGAGCCCTGGATAAAATGCACTGAGAGTCTAACCCTCTCCACCCCTCTGCCTCTCTAGCGGATGCAGTGGTGCAGTATGACGTGGAGCTGATTGCACTAATCCGAGCCAACTACTGGCTAAAGCTGGTGAAGGGCATTTTGCCTCTGGTAGGGATGGCCATTGTGCCAGCCCTCCTGGGCCTCATTGGGTATCACCTATACAGAAAGGCCAACAGACCCAAAGTCTCCAAAAAGAAGCTCAAGGAAGAGAAACGAAACAAGAGCAAAAAGAAATAATAAATAATAAATTCTAAAAAACTTCTTTGCATTCTTCATCTGATACTTTCTGAGACTGCCTTTGAAAGTGGGAATGAGGTAAAGGGCTGAGGAAAAAAGCATTCTTAGTTGCATCTTGCCTGGCATGGGGGTGGTTGTAGGCCCTGGATCACCTCTTCCCCTGGCCTCTTCTTGCTGTCCTAACTGACTTTAAGGATCTGGTCTTGAGTCTTCCCATAGGATCTCTAAGTCCTTAAGGTATGGGTTTTGGCTCTGATGGCGCCCTGATTCTGAGGAGGGATGCTTAATTGAGCAGTGAGCCTCCTGGTAGTTGCCTAGCTGTTCTCTCTATTCCCTGGGACCACAGTGTTCCTAGTGTCCTCAAAGAGGACTGCTCTGTCCAATATGGAAAAGATACAAGGAGCTCATAAACTCCATGGAAATTTTTAATAGCAACATCCGTACCTCTCTCAAAAAAAAAAAAAAATCTCTAGGAGTTGAAAGATTTTTTTCCTTAGATCACAGGTTGTGGAAGATCACGTGGGTTGCTTCAATTATATTTTAAGTGGTTGGATGTTGTTTATCACCTGGATGGGCTATAGGTATGGACAAGGGCTGGGGTAAATTGCTTTGATAGTTGACTATAAAGAGTGGGTTGAGCTGGCTCAGCACTTCGTCACTCACTGAGATGCCATCCAAGTACTGCTTCAGCATCTCCCGCAGCTTTCCATTGATATCTAGCAGCTGGGCTCGTCTGTGTTGGAGGCTCAGTTGCTCCAGTTTCACTTTGTTGTACCTTTTCCAGAAATTCTCCATTCCTGTGTAGTCCACCATCACCTGGGAGTGGAGTTGTAGGGAGAAGGTGTGCAGCGAGACCCACTAGCAAATGCTGCCCAATGCCCCACCATCCCCCAGCCTTTACCTTGGCAAGCTCCTCAGTAAGCTCTTCTAGATTATTCTCCTCAATCCCCTCCTGCTCCTTAGGAGTCAATACTGATGAATAAAAAGGCAGCACCTTTTCTTCCTCAGTTTCAAATTTCCTACATATTTCAGCAAGTTTAAGGATCTTTTCACCCTATTTGAAGCAGGAAGAGAGTTTATATTAGGAAAGGGAGTGGAGAGGGAAGCTAGTGGAGTTGGTTCCCCTGTTTGAACCCAGGGAAGCTACTCATCCAAGTGGGAAACAATAACAATAAATACATATAGCAAATAGAGGTTACCATGTAACACACACTATTCCAAGTATTTTCTATTCTTATTGTAAAATTAATTCATAGCCTGGGAAACATAGGAAGATCCCATCTCTACAAAAAAATTTGCAAAAGCCAGGTGTGGTGGCACATGCCTACAGTCTCAGCGACTGGGGAGGCTGAGGTGGAAGAATCACTTGAGCCCAGGAGGTAGAGGCTGGAGTGAGACGAGATGGTGCCACCACACTCCGGCCTGGGCAACTGAGTGAGACCCTGTCTCAAAAAAAAAAAAAAATCATTCATTCATTATTAATTCATTTCTTTAAAAAAAAAAAAACAACTCACTTTTTTTTTTTTTTTTTTTTTTTGACAGAGTTTCACTATTGTTGCCCAGGCTGGAGTGCAGTGGTGCAGTCTTGGCACACTGCAACTTCTGCCTCCAGGGTTCAAGCGATTCTCCTGCCTCAGCTTCCCGAGTAGCTGGGATTACAGGCATGCACCACCATGCCCAGCTAATTTTGTATTTTTGGTAGAGATGGAATTTCTCCATGTTGGTCAGGCTGGTCTCGAACTCCCAACCTCAGGTGATCCGCCTGCCTTGGCCTCCCAAAGTGTTGGGATTACAGGTGTGAGCCACTGTGCCCAGCCAAAAACTCATTCATTATTAATTCATTTCTTTTGTCTTTTCTGTCCTTTTTTTTTTTTTTGAGACAGGGTCTTACTCTGTCACCCAGGCTGGGGTGCAGTGGTGCAGTCATGGCTCACTGCAGCCTCGATGTCCCAGGCTCAAGTGATCCTCCCATCTCAGCTTCCCAAGTATCTGGGCTCACAGGCGTGTGCCACTATGCCCAGCTTTTTTTTTTTTTTTTTTTTTTTGGTAGAGATGGGCTCTCCCTATGTTGCCCAGGGTAGTCTCAAACTCTTGGGCTCAAGCTATCCTCCCACCTTGGCCTCCCAAAGTGCTGGGATTACAGGCATGAGCCACCACGTCTGGCCAATTCATTTCAATTTAAAATGTAGACCAGACGCGGTGGCTTACACCTGTAATCCCAGCACTTGGGAAGCCAAGGTGGGTGGATCGCTGAGGTCAGGAGTTGGAGAATATCCTGGCCAACATGGTGAAATCCTGTCTCCACTGAAAATACAAAAATTAGCCGGGTGTGGTGGTGCGCACCTGTATCCCACCTACTCAGGAGGTTGAGGCAGGAGAATTGCTTGAACCGGGGAGGTGAAGGTTGCAGCGAGCCAAGATCATGCTACTTCACTCCAGCCAGGGCAACAGAGTAAGACTTCATCTCAAAAATAATAATAATAATTAATTAATTAAAATGTAAGAGGGAGCTCGATGCAGTGGCTCATGCCTGTAATCCCAGCGTTTTAGAAAGCCAGGGTGGGCCATGCGCAGTGGCTCAAGCCTGTAATCCCAGCACTTTGGGAGGCTGAGACGGGCAGATCACGAGGTCAAGAGATCGAGACCATCCTGGCTAACACGGTGAAACCCCGTCTCTACCAAAAAATACAAAACACTAGCTGGGCGAGGTGGCGGGCGCCTGTACTCCCAGCTACTCGGGAGGCTGAGGCAGGAGAATGGCATAAACCCGGGAGGCAGAGCTTGCAGTGAGCTGAGATCCGGCCACTGCACTCCAGCCCGGGCGACAGAGTGAGACTCCATCTCAAAAAAAAAAAAAAAAAAAAAAAAGAAAGCCAGGGTGGGAAGATTGTCTGAGGCCAGGAGTTTGAGCCAACCTGGGCAACATGGCGAAACCCCCTCTCTACAAAAAATACGAAAGTTAGCCATGCACTGGGGAGGCTGAGGCAGGAGGAACGCTTGAGCCCAGGAGGCAGAGGTTGCAGTGAGCCAAGATGGCGCCACTGCACTCCAGCCTGGGAGACAGAGTGAGACCCTGTCTTCACCAGAAAGAAAGAAAAAAAAAAAGTAGGAAGGGGCTCACCAGGGTGGCTCACACCTCTAATCTCAGCACTTTGGGAGGCCAAGGCAAGAGGACTGCTTGAGGCCAGGAGTTCATAACCATCCTGGGCAACACAGTGAGACCCCATCTGTAGAAATACATAAATAAATAAATTAATGTAAGAGGGGAGGAAACATGGAATAAAAAAGGTATTCCAAGTGTCCACTCAGCCAGGAAGCAGGAAGAAGCCTTCGCTATCCTTTCCAAATTCCTTTAACCTTGCAGGGAGCCAGGTTCCTTGACTTCGTTCTGACTGTCCTCTCCCTTGTGTTACCTTATCAACAATCTTTCTCAGGGCCTTGAGGGTGGCATTACTTTCCAAGGTGAGTTTGACTAAGTTCTTCTGGGATGCTGCCCGGGCCTGAGTCCTTTGGGCCTTAAGTTTTCGCAGTTGTACAAGGACCAATTCCTTGTCGTTACGGATATACCGATTCTCATCTTCACTCTCACGGCTGTGTATCATGATCTTGCCTTTTGAAATAGTTATGGCATCCTAGAGGAACAGATTAGGGGAAACACTTGGCCAAATGAGGGTCTTCAGTGAGACAGGTAAAAGGGCTGCCTGGGGACTGAAATCAGAGCATATCATCTTTTCCCAACCAATCAGTGATGAGGCCCAGGGGAAACGAGGGGAGGCAGAAGAGGGGATAATAGAGCAGTTAGAGCAGTGAGTATTTCACTGTGAGTAACTCACAGGTTAGTGAGTATACACTAACCTGTAGTTTCTGTATTTTTTTCATCTGTACTTCAATCTCTTTGGAGCTCTTCTCATCCTTCACCTGTAGGGTCTCAAAGGCAGCCTTTCGATCCTCTGTGGCATCAGTGTAATTCTTGAGTACATCCTGGAACTTTCTCCACAGATCTTCTACTATGTTCTCCAGGTGCAGCCTTAGAAAGTGCTTCTCTTCTAAATTCTAGCAAGTGACCCCAAAATAGCAAATGTTTGGAATTACCTCATTAGTGCCCTTTCACTTCCACCAGCAACCTCACCCTCTTGAACTGTTTGTAGCATAGTTTAGTACAGAGGTCTTCAATGAAAATGCCTACACAAGACCAGGCAGATGATATAAATAAGTTTTGTGGGCCGGGTGGGGCCTGTGGTGAACTGGAGAGGAAATGCTGCATTTGGGAGGAGGAGGGGCAGCCACTGAGCTCCACATGAGCCTTGCCATTTGGAAATGTGGCCCAGTGTTGCCAGATCTTTAAATTTTTCAAGGGAAGCTGAAAATTTGGATGTTTTTATGAAATCTCCAATTTTCAAGTGTAAGATGCTTATTCAAAAAAATTTTATAAAACACTATGGGATAAATAAAAACAAAGAACTCCATACCCAAACCTAGGTCTGTGGGCTGGCTAAGTTTGCAACCTCGAGGACAACGGAAAGCACTTTGGATCAAGGGGCAGGAGACCTAGATTCTCCTGGTTCTACCACAGACCAGCAGCATGACTTTGGCAGGTCATTTTACCTATTGGGCCTTACTTTCTTCATCTGAAAATCACAGGGGTGAAGCCAGATGATCTCCTTGGTGCTTTTTAGCTCTAAAATGCATTCCCTTGACATTTTAGAATGGTCCTCCCTCCCAACCAATTTTCACAAAATTACAAAAAGCAGTAGGGATACCTACAGTGGCAATAGATACTTTATTCACTGTGTTGGCTAAAGGGGTCTCTTCTACCTCTAGTAGCCTTGAGCATTTTAATTTTTTAATTTTTTAATTTTTTTGAGAGAGGGTCTCGCTTTGTCACCCAGGCTGGAGGGCAGTGTTGCTATCACAGTTCACTACAGCCTCCGTCTTCTGGGCTCAAGCGATCATCCTACCTCAGCCTCCTAAGTAGCTTGGACCATAGGCGCACACTACCACGCCTGGCTCTTTTTTATTTTTTTTTTGGTTGGGGGGTAGAGATGGCAGTCTCTCTGTGTTGCCCAGGCTGGTCTTGAACTCCTAGTCTCAAGTGATCCTCCTGCCTTGGCCTACCAAGGTGCTGGGATTACAGGTGTAAGCCACTGTTCCCAGCCTCCTTGAGCATTTTTCTATCACCTCCTTCCACTTCTTGTCTATCTACTCTCCCTCCGTACCATGTTTTTGAGATCATTCCACATGCTCTGGAACTCCAGCTTGCTTTCATACTCAGAATCTATATAGTTCTGCTCCATGGCCATGAAGATATCTTGTAGATAGTGAATCTCTTTCTCATGTTGGTCAATAATTGTCTTCCTGTAGGAGACAAGACACTGTCCCTGCTCTGAGGGATACAGGATATTGACCAATAATGACAATTCAAAGCAGTATGTAATAAATCTATATGAATGGTACAAACTCTTAGGTACTGATGGAGAACAGAGAGAGGGAAGGCTCTATTCTTTTTAGGACTAGAAAGAATGAATACAGTTATTTTATTTTGATTTCTGAATGGGTAATACATTCATGTACTTTCAAAAAAGTACAAAAGGTTACAGTGAGAAGTCTCTCTCCCATCGCTGTTCCCTGCCAAATGGGTAGGATTTTGATAGTTGAAAATGGGTAGCTGGCCGGGCGCAGTGGCTCAAGCCTGTAATCCCAGCACTTTGGGAGGCCGAGGCGGGCGGATCACAAGGTCAGGAGATCGAGACCACAGTGAAACCCCGTCTCTACTAAAAATACAAAAAATTAGCCGGGCGCGGTGGCGGGCGCCTGTAGTCCCAGCTACTCAGGAGGCTGAGGCAGGAGAATGGCATGAACCCAGGAGGCGGAGCTTGCAGTGAGCCGAGATCGCGCCACTGCACTCCAGCCTGGGCAACAGCGTGAGACTCCGTCTCAAAAAAAAAAAAAAAAAAAAAAAAAGAAAATGGGTAGCTGGTAAAAGGAATTTGAGGAGTTAAACTTAAAAAGAAGAAAAAAAGAGTTATTAAAAAAAAGTAAAACAATAACTTAGCCAGGTGAGGTGGCACGCACCTGTAGTCCCAGCTACTGGGGACACTGAGGCAGGAAAATTGCTTGAACCCAGGAGGCAGAGGTTTCAGTTAGCTGAGATCGCACCACTGCACTCCAGCCTGGACGGCAGAGCGCGACTCCATCTTGAAAAAACAAAACACAATAAAAAATAATAATAAATAAAAAAATAGTGAAAGAAAAAAGAAGAAAGTGGGTGGTGAAGGCACACAGATAGGGGGCCTGACGTAAGTAAAGGGAAGCTAGAGCTGCAAACTTAAGCCAGAGTTTGTTTAAAAGGAACCAAGATATTCTCTGCTGGGGGTCCTGTGATAATCAATGTGGGATGCTCCAAGATACTAGCCACTTGCTTACAGGCAACTCCTTGACACAGACTCTGGACACTCCCCTGGATTCAATTCCCCATCTTCTCTTAGGCCCCCATACCTTTCTGTCTCAAACTCCTTGGTTAGGGCTTCCAGCTCCATGTTGTAACTTTCCTCCAGGAGACTGAGCCGGTGCCTCTGCAGGGCCAAAAGCTGGTCAACACTGTGCAAGTGGCTGCGCAGGGCACGGGCGTACTGCTCCTCAGCTTCGGACAGATCTTTAGCTAAAGACTAGGCCAGAAAGAGAGAGTTACCATTCCAGCTGAATGGCATCTGTGTGAGAAAATAAAAATATATTCAGCTTGCAGTTTTTTATTTGTTCCTACTGCCAATTTGGCTTTAAGAATGCTAGTTGTCCTCCTCACTCGTGTAAAGCAAGAGTGATGGCAAGGGCTGAGCAAGGTGGCTCGCATCTGTAATCCCAGCATTTTGGGTAGCCAAGGTGGGAGGATTACATGAGCCTGGGAGCTCAAGACTAGCCTGGGCAACACAGTGAGACCCCCCCAATCTCTACAAAAAAAAAAAAAAAAAAAACATAAAAATTACCCAGGCTGTAGTCCCAGCTACTCACAAGACTTGGGCAGGAGGATTGCTTAAGCCCAAGAGTTCAAAGTTGCAGTAAGCTGAGATCATGCCACTGCACTCCAGCCTGGGTGACAGAACAAGACCCTGTCTCAAAAAAAAAAAAAAAAAAAAGGCCGGGCACAGTGGCTCACACCTGTAATCCCAGCACTTTGGGAGGCCAAAATCCCAGCACTTTGGGAGGCAGGCAGATCACGAGGTCTGGAGTTCAAGACCAGCCTGACCAACATGGCGAAGCCCCATCTCTAGTAAAAATACAAAAATGCCGGGCGCGGTGGCACAAGCCTGTAATCCCAGCACTTTGGGAGGCCAAGGTGGGTGGATCATGAGGTCAACAGTTCAAGACCAGCCTGGCCAACATAGTGAAACCCCGTCTCTACTAAAAATACAAAAAAAAAAAAAAAAAAAATCCGACCATGGTGGCAGGCACCTGTAATCCCAGCTACTTGGGAGGCTGAGGCAAGGAGAATTGCTTAAACCTAGGAGGCAGAGGTTGCAGTGAGCTGAGATTGCGCCACTGCACTCCAGCCTGGGTGACAGTGCGAGACTCTGTCTCAAAATAAATAAATAAATAATAAAAAGACAAATATTAGTTGGGTGTGGTGGCGCGTGCCTGTAATCCCAGCTACTCGGGAGGCTGAGGCGGGAAAATTCCTTGAACCCAGGAGGCCGAGGTTGCAGTGAGCTGAGATCATGCCACTGCACTCCAGCCTGGGCAAGAGAGCGAGACTCCGTCTCAAAGAAGAAGAAGAAAAAAAAAAAGTGATAGCAAGGAGCCCCATGAAGCCAGCCAGTGTCCTGTGGATGACTAACATTTACAGTGATGTAGCCACCCCTGAAAGGGATCAGGGATTCTTGGAGAAATGAGTGCTTTGAGGTCTGATGCAGAAAATGAGTTGACCCTGGGGTATCTTTTTTTTTTTTTGAGATGGAGTCTCGCTCTGTCACCAGTCTGGAATGTGGTGGTCTGATCTTGGCTCATTGTAACCTCAGCCTCCTGGGTTCAAACGATTCCTGCCTCAGCTTCCTGAGTAGCTGGGACTACAGGCACCTGCCACCACGCCCAGCTAATTTTTTACATTTTTAGTAGAGACAGGGTTTCACCATGTTGGCCAGGATGGTCTTGATCTTATGATCCGCCTGACTCGGCCATCCAAAGTGCTGGGATTACAGGCATGAGCCACCGCTCCAGGCAGAACCTGGAGTATCTTATCATAAAAGATAGCAAAGAAGCTATCAAAGACCAAAAGGGTCATGTCAGAAGGACCCAGGAACCAATATAAAGTGCCTCACTGAGGCAGATTTTCCAAAGAAAATCACAGCAATATCTCCCATCCTACGATTCTCTGCTATGTGACCTTGCCACTCCCCTATCAAAAGGTGGTGTCTCTTCTTCCAGCTCCTTGAATTTGGGCAGACCCTATGACTACATGGGTCAATAGAATACGGTGGAAGTGGCACTATGCCAGTCCCAGGCATAACCCTTGGCTGGCCTGGCAGTTTCTGCTTCCCGCCCCTTAGAATGCTTGTTCTTAGGATGATCCCTCCAGGAGCCTAACAGTCATTCTGTGAGAAGCCAAGTGCAATGAATTTTTATTTATTTATTTATTTTTATTTTTTATTTTTTATTTATTTATTTTTTTGAGATGGAGTCTTACTCTGTCACCCAGGCTGGAGTGCAGTGGCGCGATCTCGGCTCATTGCAACCTCCGCCCCCCAGGTTCAAGTGATTCTCCTGCCTTAGCCTCCCGGAGTAGCTGGAATTACACACCACACCCAGCTAACTTTTTGTATTTTTTAGTAGAGATGGGGTTTCACCATGTTAGTCAGGCTGGTCTTGAACTCCTGACCTCGTGATCCACCCGCCTCGGCCTCCTAAAGTGCTGGGATTACAGGTGTGAACCACCGCGCCCAGCCAGAAGGTTTTTTTTGTTTTGTTTTTTAATCAGTTATCACTGGAGGATACCAGACAACCAATTTTTTAAAAAACTTAAAGGCAAGAGAAATAATCAAGCATTTATCTTGCTTTTCCTGTATAAACTATAGCTTTGAGTAATTGAATAGAAAATGAGGGGAAGTGGCCGGGCGCGGTGGCTCACGCCTGTAATCCCTGCACTTTGGGAGGCCGAGGCGGGCGGATCACGAGGTCAGTAGATCGAGACCATCCTGGCTAACACGGTGAAACCCCGTCTCTACTAAAATACAAAAAATTAGCCGGGCGCGGTGGCGGGCGCCTGTAGTCCCAGCTACTCCGGAGGCTGAGGCAGGAGAATGGCGCGAACCCGGGAGGCGGAGCTTGCAGTGAGCCGAGATGGTGCCACGGCACTCCAGCCTGGGCGACAGAGTGAAGACTCCGCCTCAAAAAAAAAAAAAAGAAAAGAAAATGAGGGGAAGTATCTCTTTTCAGAAATACTCAAGCTAATGAACAAAAAATGAACGATACTATTAGAAAATCAGGCCAGACACAGTGGCTCACACCTGTAATCCCAGATCTTTGGGAGGCTGAGGCAGGAAGATCATTTGAAGCAAGGGTTTGAGGCCGAGAGTTTGAGACTAACCTGGGCAACAGAGTGAGGGCCCTATCTCTATTTCTTTCTCTCTCTCTCTCTTTTTTTTTTTTTTTTTTTCCTTACTGGATCACTACATCTAGACCCCATCTCTATTTCTTTTTGTTTTGAGTCAGGGTCTTGTTCTGTCATCCAGGCTGGGTCAGGTGTCATGATCACAGCTTATTGCAGCCTCAATCTCCCAGGCTCAATTGATCCTCCACCTCAGCCCCCTGAGTAGCTGGGACTACAGGCACACACTACCATGCCCAGCTAATTTTTAAGTTTTTTTGTAAATAGGGTTTCACCATGTTGCCCAGGCTGGTCTCGAACTCCAGGGCTCAAAGGATCTGCCTGCCTCAGCCTCCCAAAGTGTTGGGATTACAAGCATGAACCACTGTGCCTGGCCCCATCCCCATTTCTAAAATACAATTTAAACATTTTAAAAATAAGCATTTTTGCATCTCCCAATGATTTAATGGATCAACAGCTGCTAACATCACAAAAAGAGAGCTAAACAATATGTGTCTCTTGATACAACATCGCTAAGCATCTAAATCCAATTACCCAAATAAAAATACAGAGGAAAAAGTAATGTGGTAAACTGCAATACAGAATACTATGCAGTTGTAAAATAAGAAGCTGTTTACAGGAAAATATGGAACAATCTCATATATATATGAGCACAATCTTGGCTCACTGCAACCTCTGCCTCCCAGGCTCATGTGATCCTCCTACCTCAGCCTCCCCAGTAGCTGGGACTATAGGCACATGCCACCACACCCAGCTAATTTTTATATTCTTAGTAGAGACAGGGTTTTACCATGTTGCCCAGGCCGATCTCGAACTCCTAGGCTCAAGCAATCCACCTGCATTGGCCTCCTAAAGTGCTGGGATTTCAGGCATGAGCCACTGTGCCCAGCCTCCAAGATACATTATTAAGTGAAAAAACCAAGGGGCAGAATAGTATATAATATGATCATTTATGTAAAGAAAAAAGAAAAAAGATTTCCTTATGAAACTAGAATTATTGGAAGGAACACTGGGTACCTGGAAGGCACTGGTGGGGAGGAACTTTTCTCTATATAACCTTTTTTTCTTTTGGATTTTGAATAATGTGAATGTACTACCTTCAAAAAAGTAAAACAAGATTAAACAGAAAAGCATTTATGGAATTGCCCACATGATCCAGGCACCTTGAGTCCACTCACTGTAAACTACCATGACCTCTACACAGAGATAGCTTTTACCTTATATGTTTACAATGATAAAAGGATCCTGTGAAATAGGTTCTGATGATGGAAGACTATTCACTCACTCAGCAAATGTTTACCTAACCCCTGCTATGTACCAGCACTGTGCAGGATGTTGAGGATTCAGAGATAAAAAGATATGCCCACTGCTCCCAAAGGAGCTTACAGTCTAGTAGGAAGAGTTACATAAATAGAAAATCACAACATAACATGGAAATTGCTATAAGGTTGATGATTTATTGAGTGACAATGAATATAAAGGATTGAGTGCCTACATATGACTAAGCACTGGGAAAGCCTTCACCAAAGAGATGTCATTTGTATCAACTCTTGAAGGAGGAATGAAAGTTTACCAGGATGGTCGGGCTCACTCCTGTAATCCCAGCACTTTGGGAGGCTGAGGCAGGTGGAGGTCACGAGTTCCAGACCAACCTGACCAACATGGTGAAGCCCCATCTCTACTAAAAATACAAAAATTAGCCAGCATGGTGGCGCACACCTGTAGTCCCAGCCACTCAGGAGGCTGAGGCAGGAGGATCACTTGAACCTGGGAGGTGGAGATTGCAGTGAGCAGAGATTGCACCACTGCACTCCACCCTGGGCAACAGAATGAGACTCCATCTCAGGAAAAAAAAAAAAAAAGGGCAGAGTGCAGTGTGGTGTATAATCCCAGCATTTTGGGAGGCTGAAGTGGGCAGATCACTTGAGGTCAGGAGTTCAAGACCAGCTGGCCAACACGATGAAACCCTGTATCTACTAAAAATACAAAAATTAGCCGGGCGTGGTGGCGTGCACCTGTAATCCCAGCTACTTGGGAGGCTGAGGCAGGAGAATCGCTTGAACCCGGGAGGTGAAGGTCACAGTGAGCCGAGATCGCTCCACTGCACTCCAGCCTGGGAGACAGAATGAGACTCCGTCTCAAAAAAATAAATAAATAAAAATAAAAATAATAAGAAAATTTGTCAGGACAACTGGAGAAGAAATGGAGATGAGAATTCCAGACACAGGGAATAGCATATGCAAAGGCACAGGTAAGAAACAAGGCTGGCTGTATGAAAAGTACAGGTGGGCAGAGGCCGGGTGTGGTGGCTCACGCCTGTAATACTCAGCCTGGGCAACAAAAGCGAAACTCCATCTCAAAAAAAAAAAAAAGTACAGGTAGGAACCAGATCATGAAAGGCTTTGATGTTCTTACTATGGAGTTTGGATTTTTTCCTGTAGATGGGGGAACCACTAAGATTTAAGCAGTGGAGTGACAGGATTAGATTTCTGCTTTAGAAAGATAACCCTAGTACTCATGCCTATAATCCCAGCACTTTGGGAGGCCGAGGTAGTTGGATCACCTGAGTCCAGGAGTTAGAGACCAGCCTGGCCAACATGGCGAAACCCCGTCTCTACTAAAAATGCAGAAATTAGCTGGACACGGTGGCATGCACCTGTAATCCCAGCTACTCAGGAGGCTGAGGCAGGAGAATCACTTGAACCTAGGGGGCAGAGGTTGCAGCGAGCCAAGATTGTGCCACTGCACTCCTGCCTGGGTGACTCTGTCTAAAAATAAAATAAAATTAATAATAATAATAATAATCGTAGTAGTTCTGCAGAGAATCTAGAGGCAGTTGAATGTGAAGGGTGGAAAATAGGAAACAAATAGTTTAGGTTAGAGATGATGCCCAGGTCTCAACTACAGGAGGACAGTGGAAAAGGACAGCAGGGTATAGCTTTGAAAACTACTTTAAAGTAGACAACTTATACAACACTTAGTAACAGAGGTCAGGGACAGATGCAAAATCTAGGATGGACTGGGCCCAGTGGCTCATGCCTGTAATACTAGCACTTTGGGAGGCCAAAGTGGGAGGACTGCTTGAGGCCAGGAGTTCAAGACCAGCATGGGCAATGTAACGAGACTACATCTCTACAAAAAATGTAAAAATTTGTTAGATGAGGTGGTGTGCACCTGTGGTCCCAGCTACTCCAGAGGGTGAGGTGGGAGGATCAGCCTGGGCAACACAGTGAGACCTTGTCTCTACTAAAAATTAAAAAATAATTCTAAAATTTAGCCAATCATAAGCTGGGCGCGGTGCCTCACGCCTGTAATCCCAGCACTTTGGGAGGCCGAGGCAGGCAGATCACAAGGTCAAGAGTTCGAGACCAGCCTGACCAATATAGTGAAACCCCGTCTCTACTAAAAATACAAAAGTTAGCTGGGCGTAGTGGCGTGCGCCTGTAATCTCAGCTACTTGGGAGGCTGGGGCAGGAAAATCACTTGAACCCGGGAGGCGGAGGTTGCAGTGGGCCAAGATGGCACCACTGCATTCCAGCCTGGGCGACAGGGTGAGACTCCATCTCAAAAAAAAAAAAAAAAAAAAAAAAAAAAAAAAATTTAGCCAATCCTAGTGAGAGCCTGTAGTCCCAACTGCTCAGGTGGGAGGATCACTTGAGCCCAGGAGCTTGAGTGTAGTGAGCTATGATTGTGCTATTGCACTTCAGCCTGGACAACAGTGAGACTGTCTCAAAAAATAAAATAAAATAAAATAAAATAAAGTCAGGGTAATATGTAAGATTGTCTAGCCCTAGAAAACTGGTTAAAGGGTGAGATGGCCAGACTCAGAAATCTGGGGAATGCTGAAGTTCAGAGGATGGAGAGAGGAAGATAAACTCACTGGAGTGAATGGTTTATGTCCCAGAGGTAGAAAAAATGACAGAATGGTGTCTTGCAAGCCAAAGGAGAGTTTCAAGACCCAGGGCATGACCAAGAATGTCAGTGCCATAGAGAGGTTAGGTTAGATAAAGACTAAATGATGAAAAGTAGTCACAATTCTGAACCGGTGGCTTTTACTTGAGCAGTTTCCTAGAGAAGGGTAGAAATCAGATGTTGTGGGATGCAGGGTAAAAGGGAAGTGAAGAAGTAGAGATAGTGAGGATCACTAACATTTCCACATTTAATATGTGTAGTCTTACTCAGGAATGACCCTGAAGGTGGTTAATATTAACAGTATGTGATTTACCTAAGCAAGAACTGTTATCATAAGCTGAGAGGCTGCTGTGTAGGAAGAAGTTAATTGTGTCGGGGTGAACCTGGTCAACTACTCAGCTTCCCTTAACCCATTCATGCCTAAGGTTGCAAATATTTTTTGTGAAAAATCAGACCTTGGTGATGACCTTGAGCAGTACAAGATACATAACTCCCCAAAACTTAGCATTCCAATAATGGAACACTAGGCAATGAACACTGCTGTTCTTATCAAGTGTTTGATAACTTCCAATAAGTGTCTGAAAAAGCCTCTTAAAAATCCATAAGTTATGGGCTGGGCGCAGTGGCTAACGTCTGTAATCCCCGCACTTTGGGAAGCTGAGGTGGGTGGATCACCTAAGGTCAGGAGTTCCAGACCAGCCTGGCCAACATGGTGAAACCCTGTCTCTACTAAAAATATAAAAATTAGCTGGGCTTGGTGGCGGGCGCCTGTAATCCCAGCTATTCAGGAGGTTGAGTCAGGAGAATCGCTTGAACCCAGGAGGCAGAGGTTGCAGTGAGCTGAGACCGGGCCTTTGCACTGCAGCCTGGGCAACAAGAGTGAAACTCCATCTCGAAAAAAGAAAAAAATCCGTAAGGTATAACTGGTGGGGTGTGAACTTCTAATGAATAATGGTTATTGCAAATTTGAGGACTCTTAATATATATCTCTGGAAGCTGCCCAAGGTCTGCTGAGCTTTTTCCCCAGGGGTTAGGCTATGAAAGAGAAATGTATGTTTTCTAGAGGGGGAATACCATGTTGGCAATGTATAATTTGCTGTTACTGTGGGCTTTGTTTTGTTTACAATTGAAAAGACTCTGGCTGGGCGCAGTGGCTCACACCTGTAATCCCAGCACTTTGGGAGGCCAAGGCAGGTGGATCACGAGGTCAGGATATCAAGACCATCCTGGCCAACACGGTGAAACCCCATCTCTACTAAAAATACAAAAATTAGCCAAGCATGGTGGCACACGCCTATAGTTGTAGCTACTCGGGAGGCTGAGGCAGGAGAATCACTTGAACCCGGGAGGTGGAGGCTGCACTGAGCCGAGTTCACAGCACTGCACTCCAGCCTGGCGACAGAGCAAGACTCCGTCTCAATAAATAAATAAATAAATAAATAAATAAAAAGACTAAGGAGAAGGCAGTAAATGGAGGTAGACTATTAAAAGTAAGAAAAAAGAAGGGGTACAGAAAATCCCTTAGAAGAAAAGATAGGATGGAATCAAGAACTCAAGAACCTCCCAAGAGCATAAGGATGGCTGATTGAATTGCTTAGAAATCCAGAACTGCTCTTACCCATGGAGATCTTCTCAACCTTATCCAGGGCCACTGAAGTTGAATCAAGAGGCCAAACAATTTGGTTGAATGGAGCACTGCAGTGGGAATCAATAAACACAGGCTGGAGTCCTGGCTCTCTCACTGACTAGGTATGTGACCTTGGGCAAGTCAGTTCCCCTCTGGAACTGAGCCTTCTGACATTGAAATGAAGGTGTGGGACTCATTTCAAGTCACTGGGTGATGTCTACTGTGCCTTACAACTCTACTATTGGATAGTGCTGGTTTGGGGCAGCAGATTACAAGGAGAGTGGCTCCTCTAAGGGAGAGAGGGGTGAAAGATAGCCCCATATTCTATTTTTTATTTCTGTGAAAACCGTTGTTACCAATAGCCTGGCTTTCTCACAGCCTGTGTCTTGTGAGGGCTTAAAGATGGACTAATTCACTAGGATCATTCTATTAAGAGGTCAGGAAGCCATACTCAAGGTTTCCTTGGAAAGAGTGCCTACCTTGATGACATTGTCCTTACAGTCCACCACTCGTTCAAATGTTTGGCTGAGGATCTCAATGTCCTTATGAAGCTCTCTGGTCTTGACTTCCCTAAGGACAGTTCTCCACTGTGTGTTAATCTTATTAAGGTTCAAAGCACTGTTGTGTTCCTCCTTGGCCAGCTTGTCCTGTGTGAAGGAATAAATATACCTCCAGGAAGTCAGGGCCTTTCAGTACAACAAACAAGATCACTCTTAATTTATCAGCTGACACCTTACCCCTTTCCGATGGGAACGGCCTGATGGCATTTAGGGAGGGCAAGGGTGAATTTCCTTCAGGGTGGGAGCATCAGAGTAGGATGTTGTTTGTAATGACCCATCTCCAGGGAGAATATCAGCATTCCAGACAGCTGGGATAGCGGACAGGACCTAAGGTCCCAGTTCTGTGATTCAATAGAGACCGCCAGGCTGTATACCACGCACCCCCTCCCTGCTTCGCGGATAACACCCCCGCCTCCCAAACAATGTTGCCTGAAATCTAAGTATATCTGGGTCTCAGGATTTCCGGAGGAGGGGAGGTCAGGATGAAAATGAGGTTTCCTCAGTGACAGGCCAGCGCAGCGGGTGGATGGGGTTGAGCAGGACATAATGCAAAAGGCCATCACCTTCAAGAACTGGCTGAGGAGCCTCTCTTTCTTTTTGGCCATCTCCTCCTCTGCCAGCAACTTCTGTTGAAACAGAAGCAGCTGCTCCTCATCGGACAGGGGCGTCTTGGCCTTTTTTTCTTTCTTAGGCATGGCGGGGCAGGGGATTGGATCCGGGAAAGAAGCTTCGGCCTGTCTCGACCCGCGTTACAGAGCGTAGAAGAAAAATGTCCCTAGAAAGGGGCCTTCCAGAACTGCCCCTGGTTGTGGGCGGTTGTGGGACCTGAGATCTCAGCTCTCGCACAAGAGAGACCCCGGACTATCAGTGAGGCTGAGCTCTCCCACGGTAAGACGCGTCTAGTCTCCTAGCAACGAGGATCTCGCTAATATAGAGAGGCAACGGCTAGAAGAGTCCATGTCTTGGAGCGCCCCCTACCCAGTGGAGGACCGCGGTCGATTTTTGAGAGGGTCCTTTTACCTCTCAAAAACCTGTCTCCTCAGTGCTTTTTTTTTTTTTTTTTGAGACCGAGTCTCGCTCTGTCGCCTAGGCTGGGCATGATCTCGGCTCACTCAACCTTCGCCTCCCCTGTTCAAGCAATTCTCCTGTCTCAACCTCCCCTCAGTGCACTTTTATAAACCTTCCTCAGACCCCGTGGGAAGCCCAAGATCGTCAAAAACAGAACCAAGAAGTCTGACCGATATGTCAAAATTAAGTGTAACTGGCGGAAACCCAGAGATGTTGACAACAGAGTTCGTAGAAGGTTCAAGGGCTAGATCTTGATGCCCAACATTGGTTATGGGAGCAACAAAAAAACAAAGCACATGCTGCCCAGTGGCTTCCGGAAGTTCCTGGTCCACAACGTCAAGGAACTGGAAGTGCTGCTGTTGTGCAACGAATCTTACTGTGCTGAGATAGCTCACAATGTTTCCTCCAAGAACCGCAAAGCTATCGTGGAAAAGAGCTGCCCAGCCGGCCATCAGAGTCACCAACCCTAATCCCAGGCTGCGCGGCAAAGAAAATGAGTAGACAGCTCATGTGCATGTTTTGTGTTTAAATAAAACTGTAAAAACTGCAAACAACAACAACAACAAAAACCTTTTTAAAAAAGGTAAGTGTTGGAGAGAATGTGGAGAAACGGGAACCCTCATATATTGGTGGTGGAAATGTAAAATGGTGTAGCCACTTTGGAAAACAGTTTGGCAATTTTTTTAAATGTTAAACATAAATTTACCATGTGACCCAATAATTTCACTCTTAGGGATCTGCCTAAGAGAAATGAAAGCATACATACACACAAAAACTTGCACAAGAATTTTCTTCTCTGTCTCACTCATAATAGCCCAATTGGAAAAATTAGAGACAACCTAAATGTCCATTAACTTGTGAATGAGGCCGGGCACGGTGGCTCAAGCCTGTAATCCCAGCACTTTGGGAGGCCGAGACGGGCGGATCACGAGGTCAGGAGATCGAGACCATCCTGGCTAACACAACGAAACCCCGTCTCTACTAAAAATACAAAAAAATTAGCCGGGCGAGGTGGCGGGCGCCTGTAGTCCCAGCTACTCGGGAGGCTGAGGCAGGAGAATGGCGTAAACCCGGGAGGCGGAGCTTGCAGTGAGCCGAGATCGCGCCACTGCACTCCAGCCTGGGCGACAGAGCGAGACTCCGTCTCAAAAAAAAAAAAAAAAAAACAAAACAAAAAAAAAAAACATGTGAATGAGTAGACAAAATATGCTGTGTCCATACAATGGAATATTATTCAGAACAAACTATGGATACCAGCTACAATGTAGGTGAACCTCAAAAAGAATATGCAGGCTGGGCGCTCTGGCTCACACCTGTAATCCCAGCACTTTGGGGGGCCAAGGCGGGAGGATTGCTTTAGCCTAGGAGATGGAGACCAGCTTGAACAATGTGGCGAAATCCCTTCTCTACAAAAAATACAAAAGAAGTTAGCCGGGCGTGGTGGTGCATACCTGTTGTCCCAGCTACCCCAGGAGGCTGAGGTGAGAGGATCACCTAAGCCCCAGAGGTCAAGCCATAATCAAGCCATTGCGCTCCAACTGGGTGACAGAGCAGCCCTGTCTCAAAAAAGAAACAACAAAAACAAAACAAACAAACCCTTTTTTAGACTGGAGTCTCACTCTGTCACCTAGGCTGGAGCAGTGCCTGATCTCAGCTCACTGCAACCTCCACCTCCCGGGTTCAATAAATTATCCTGCCTCAGCTTCCCGAGTAGCTGGGACTACAGGTGTGCACCACCAAGGCTGCCTAATTTTTGTATTTTTAGTAGAGATAGGGTTTTACCATGTTAGCCAGGTTGGTCTCAAACTCCTGACCTCACATGATCCACCCACCTCGGCCTCCCAAAGTGCTGGGATTACAGTCGTGAGCCACCATGCCCAGCCAAAAAAACCCTATGCTCGGCCGGGTGCGGTGGCTCAAGCCTGTAATCCTAGCACTTTGGGAGGCCGAGGCGGGCGGATCACAAGGTCAGGAGATCAAGACCATCCTGCCTAACACGGTGAAACCCCGTCTGTACTAAAAAATACAAAAAAACTAGCCGGGCGAGGTGGCGGGCGCCTGTATTCCCAGCTACTCGGGAGGCTGAGGCAGAAGAATAGTGTAAACCTGGGAGGCAGAGCTTGCAGTGAGCTGAGATCTGGCCACTGCACTCCAGCCTGGGTGACAGAGAGAGACTCCGTCTCAAAAAAAAAAAACAAAACAAACAAACAAAAACAAAACAAAACAAAAAAAACTCTATGCTCAGTGAAATAAGCCAGATACAAGTGATTACATATTGTATGGCTACATTTATATGAAATATCTGGAAAAGGCCAAGCTATAAAGACAGAAAGTAGATTACCTTCTTTCTTTTTTTCTTATTTTCTCTCCTTCTTTCTTTCTCTCTCTCTCTCTGTCTCTCTTTCTCTTTCTTTTTTTGACTGAGTCTTGCTCAGTTGCCCAGGCTAGAGTGCAGTGGCACAGTCTCGGCTCACTGCAACCTGCACCTCCCAGGTTCAAGTGATTCTCCTGCCTCAGCTTCCCAAGTAGCTGGGATTACAGGCACCCGCTACTACACCCGGCTAATTTTTGTATTTTTAGTAGAGATGGGGTTTCACCATGTTGGCCAGGCTAGTCTCAAACTCCTGGCCTCAAGTGATATACCTTGGCCTCCCAAAGTGCTAGGGTTACAGGTGTGAGCCACCGCACCCAGCCAGATTACCTTCTTTCTAACCCCCTAACCCCCAGTGGGAAATCCTAACCCCCAATGGAATGATATTAGGTGGGGTCTTTGGGAGGTATTTAGGTTTAGACAGGTCATGAGAGTGGAGCTCCCATTATGGGATTAATGTCCTTAGAAGAAGAGAAAGAGACTAGCATTGTCTCTCGGCTTTGTGAGGATATTGGGGAAAGACAGCCATGTGCAAACCAGGAAGAGAGCCCTCACCAGACACCAGATCTGCCAGCACCTTGATCTTGGACTACCCAGGCTCCAGAGCTGTGAGAAATAAACATCTGTTGTTTAAGCCACCTAGTATATGGTATTATGTTATGGCAGCCTGAACTAAGACAATTTTCTATTATCTGTGGGAGGGGAGAGGAAGATAGTATAATAGTAAATGTGTATAAATATATATAGTAAATGTGCTTGAGGGATAATACTGGGATGTTGAAAATGCTCGAAAATGTATTTATGTTAAACAAGTTGATAAATTTGGTTTGAAAAGTCATTGAGCCAGATGCCATGGCTCACCCCTATAATCCTGGCACTTTGGGAGGCCAAGGAAGGAGGATCACTTGAGCCCAGAAGTTCAAGATCAGCCTGGGAAACATAGCGAGAACTTGTTTGTAAAAAATAAAAATAGTCTGGGCATGGTGGCTCACGCCTGTAATCTAAGCACTTTGGGAGGTTAAGGTGGGTGGATCACCAGCCTGGCCAACATGGTGAAACCCTGTAGCCAGGCGTGGACATGGTGGCTCACCCCTATAATCCTGGCACTTTGGGAGGCCAAGGTGGGTGGATCACCTGAGGTCAGGAGTTCAAGACCAGCCTGACCAACATGGAGAAACCTTATCTCTACTAAAAATACAAAATTAGCTGGGCGTGGTGTCGCATGCCTGTAATCTCAGCTACTCAGGAGGCTGAGGCAGGAGAATCACTTGAACCTGGAAGGCAAAGGTTGCAATGAGCTGATATCATGCCATTGCACTCCAGCCTGGGCAACAAGAGCAAAACTCTGTCTCGAAAAAATAATAATAATAAAATAAAATTTAAAATAAAAATACGGGAGGCTGAGGCAGGAGAATGGCGTGAACCCGGGAGGCGGAGCTTGCAGTGAGCTGAGATCCGGCCACTGCACTCCAGCCTGGGTGGTAGAGCGAGACTCCGTCTCAAAAAATAATAATAATAATAAAATAAAATAAAATAAAATAAAAATAAAAAGCCTGGTTGGGTGTGGTGGCTCATGCCTGTAATCCCAGCACTTTGGGAGGCTGAGGTGGGTGGATCACTTGAGGTCAGGAGTTCAAAACCAACCTGGCCAACATGGTTAAACCCTGTCTCTACTAAAAACACAACAATTAGCCCAGGTGTGGTGGCACACATCTGTAGTCCCAGCTACTTGCGTGGCTGAGGTATGAGGATTGCCTGAACCCAGGAGGTGGAGGTTGCCGTGAGCTGTGATCATGCCACTGCACTCCAGCCTGGGTGACAGAACAACCTAGTCTCAAAAAAAAAAAAAAAGTCATCAAATTATACACTTTAAAAAAGTGAACTGGCCAGGTGCAGTGGCTCACGCCTGTAATCCCAGCACTTTGGGAGGCTGAGGCGGGCAGATCACCTAAGGTCGGGAGTTCGAGACCAGCCTGACCAACATGGAGAAACCACGTCGCTACTAAAAATACAAAATTAGCTGGGCGTGGTGGCGCATGCCTGTAATACTCATGACAATCATAGTCCTGGGTTCCGTAACTGGTCACGTGGTCATAGCTGGTATTAATAGCTACCTTTTTCTACTACTATCCTGTATTCCCTTTGCCTTCAGCAAGCACCTTAACAGGTGTTTACCTGTTTCTTTTCTTTTTTTTTTTTTTGAGATGGAGTCTTGCTCTGTCGCCCAGGCTGGAGTGCAGTGGCCGGATCTCAGCTCACTGCAAGCTCCGCCTCCCGGGTTTACGCCATTCTCCTGCCTCAGCCTCCTGAGTACCTGGGACTACAGGCGACTGCCATTATGCCCAGCTAATTTTTTTGTATTTTTAGTAGAGATGGGGTTTCACCGTGTTAGCCAGAATGGTCTCGATCTCCTGACCTCGTGATCCGCCCGTCTCGGCCTCCCAAAGTGCTGGGATTACAGGCTTGAGCCACCGCGCCCGGCCTT